TAAAATTGACAGGACGCAATGACGAAATTGCACGAATCCTTACAGGATACAACCAATTGGATGCAGCAGTAAAAATGTTAATATCGAAAATTAAAAGGCTACAACGGATATAACGACCATCCATGAAATTTTCCCGTTAAATCGAAACAACAAATTCATCGAATCTATCAAAGAATCCGCCATTGAAATTTACTGCGGCGAAAAGAGCGCCAGCGTACAGATTCTAATATAAATTGACCAGTCTGGCAAATTCGTTATATCCCGAAAAAGTACACACGCGCTCTCACACATATACAACTTTCTTGACAGTTCCCTTTCATCACGCGAAAAGCGATTGATAACAAACCCTATCGCGGGCAAAGGGGAATCAAAGGTTCGAAAGGCCAGCTTTAATGCACGGGTATAGACTGACTACTCGCACTAAAAATTCTAACTTTGTCCGAAAGCAAATTTTGTTTCAAAGGGCAACCGATATCCTCTCCTCCTCCATACCTCCTACCCGCCCCCGCCCCCCTCTTCGCTCTTCGCCCTCGCTACCGTTTGATCTGGCGAAATCCGGACCGTGTCAGTCAATAGAGACAGCGAAACGGGAGGTATGAAAAATGAATCTGAGGGGGTTAAAGCGATTCGAGCCGCATCAGACGGACGGTTTTGTTGGCGGTCGAATCGCGACAAGACACAGGAGCATTCAGCGACGGTGAACGGGGGGGGCGAAGGGGACCCCCATCGGGGGTGCGGTGAAGAGAGGAAGGAAAGGGACGGGTAGAACCTTCGCAAATACACTCCGCGGTCGGCTTACGGCGCGGGGATCGACCGCGCGGTCGCTGCGCAGCCCGTGCGGAATATAAATGTAAACGGCGGGAATATGCGGCCGAGCCGCTCGCAATTCCATTCACGTCCCAACACTCCTACGCCCTGGCTGTCACCGTCCGACCAGAATCGCGCGGCGATCCCCCGCGTTTCATCCCCCGTTCCCCTCCCCCCCTCCCGCTCCCGGCTTCCGCAAATCTGCGTCGCCCCTTATCGGGGCGAGGGTGCGTTCGGCAAGCCGAAACTATGCGCGGCAGCTACTCGCGGTCGTCTAATTCAGTGCCTCTCAAATTAGGTTACGCGAGAACAAATCCATGGTACACATCGAGATTAATTTCGCCTCAGTCGTTTGCGCAAAACGCATTTAAACGCATACTATCTTATAAAGTTTTGACGTAGAATTTTAACGCGATACATTTTAATTACATTTATGTAGCTATCTGAAAGTAACGTTAATCCTTTTTATAAATTTTTATAAATCGTCACCGCGCGCAATCACTTCACATCGTTATATTTGCAAATCGAACTTCTGTATCTACGATCCATAATACTTAGACAGGAAAGTGTAAACGTTATTCGTGCCAAGTTTGAGAAACACTGAATAGCTTGAATGACAAATATGATGCACGTTGAGGTCAGAATTTATGTATATGTACTCCTGAATATTTTTATAACGGAGATTATACGTTCCGTTTGTTTCATCTACCACGGTCTTCCAAATCTCTTATTCCATCCAGTGAATCATTACGATGTAGCGTATGATAAATGTGTAAGAGGTAACTGAGAACCGAGAGTTTCTCCTCTCCGAAAACGACTCTCAATAAATTTACTCAACTGCGAGAAACTTTTACGTAGGTACGTATGCGAACTTAACTTTGAAATTATGTATGATTGGCTCTAAAGGGATGCGTCTAAACTATAAATTTGAGCTTATCGGATGTAAATTATGATGTAAACTGATACGATGAAACGTAATAAATATTGTTTCGAAGTTAGTGGCATTTTTATGAACTTAAAATTTTCTCAGAACGAGAAAATGAGATGTCCGTGTGATTTCGTAAATGGAAAAGACAAAGTTTGCCGGAGACGGTGGAAAAGGTAGAACGACACGTAACGCTGGAGTACTTATGGGAGGT